CACTGTTGGGCAATATGCCCAACCCCAGCCATCTAAGACTCCAGGGCCTACTATTCCTTTGCTGTTGACCTCAGCTGCATGGGCAGATAATAATGTCTAGGCATAGACTGCCTTTCATAAGGCAGTTACTTCAATGTTGCAGTCCAAATGAAAAAAAAAAAGAAACAGAAAACGTCTGTATTAGCTACAGAGCTATTGGCATTACCCGCTGAGTTCATTGAGATGAGCTCCCAGACCAAGTTGACCCTTCAAGGAAAGAGCGAAGATATCCCATGAAGCAATTGTTTAAACCACTTAGTGGAACTCCATTCTTTTAAGGGGATCACCTGGTGGTTGACATCACTTCCTTGCTTTAAAGCATTGCGATTTTCTATGTTTTAACTCGGTTATCTTTTTACAGGCTGAACCCCCTGCTGAATTCTTCAGACATACACCACTCACCCCAGCATACCCTCCCTGGCAGTGGGTAAATGGCAAATAAAAAGGTTCGCTCCATCAAGTCAATTGAGGAGGGCAGGTGGCAGGGTACCCAAGGATGCTTTTGCTCTCCATGCTGCTTAATGTCTCTAAGATCAAACACAAAGATCATGGGAGGAACAGGTGATCAGCGGGCAACAATAGATGACTGTACTAGGTTCTGGATGGGTTGTGCAACTCAGACAAATGGATGGCCCCATTTAAAATTACTTCAGAAGTATCAAAGGAGGTCTCTGTAGTTACCGTATGTGCCTTCAGACTCGAACATTATTTTCCAATCCTGCTGGTGCTACTATTGCAGAGTGAGAAGGAAATATGAAAAAGGCTTTCTCTTGATTCAGACTTCTTCCACAGATGCTTTTTCCAAAAAGAAATGCAAACTTTATATGTGAGTTTTGGAATGAGGCTGGGACAGTGTTCCCCCATTCACAGAAATGTTTGTGGGATGCAAGAAAATAGGCATGCTGTGCCCAGCAGGTTTTCACCAAAAAAAATTTCAGATAACTTTTCCATTACTCATCAGGGAAGTTTTGTCCCATTACTTCATCCCTACCCCCCAGAGAAATGCTAATCTTTATTCTAGGATTATTTGTCAACTCATTTTATTATGTAATGGAAATACAAACAGCTCTCTATACATGTATTTGAGTTTCGTAATAGTCAAAATGAAACCAAAATTTATCCCAACATTTTATAGGGCAAATATGTGCTTTGTATTGTTTTTTAAGTATTAGTGTTTTTAACTAATATTATAAAAATTCAAACAGTGCAAGGGACATCAATTTTGTCTCCTTCTCACTCTAAATCTCCAGTTTCTTCATTCTCTCTCTCTCTCTCTCTCTCTCAGAAACAACTGCTACTCCTGGTTTCAATGTAGCCATTCAGAGTTAGTTTGCACATTTACAAATATTTCTATATGTGTTTTATATATGTGTCCTTTTTAAATTTTTTACTCAACTGAGTATATATGGATGTATATATATAACATCCATGCTGTTCTATTCCTTGCTTTTTCAAGCTACTTCTTGGAAATATCTACATAAAGGTATATATATGTCTACTTCATTCTGTTTAATGGCAACATTTCATTCTATAATATGCACACTCCAAAATTTACTTATTCTATCTCTTTTGGTTGACATTTGCATGGTTTTCTCTTTTTTCTGTTATATGCAATTCAACAATACTATACAGTATTAGTATATATATTTTACTAACATATAAAATTCTATAGTTACATAAATATAGAATTTTTGCACACATGTTCAAAATCTGTAAAATCATTTTCTCCAAAGGAAATTTTAGAGGAAAATATCTGCAGATGTTTTGACAGATATTACTGAATTGCTTTCCTAACGGTTGGTACCAATATAAACAATCACCAGTAGCATATAACATGGCCTACTTCCCATATAGTTGTCAACACATGTACATTTAAACTTAATTTTCCTTGTCCATTTGAAAAATACTATATATCTTTAAACATACCTTGCATTAATTATAAATGAGGCTGAGTTGGTTTCCATGTATTTAAATGTCTTTTCTGTGAACTGACACTTCTTATCTGTTGATTTGGAATGTCACCTACATGCTATGTTGAGCCATATATAATTGCCATTTTTATAAGGAATAAGAGATGAAAATTAGCAATTTTATATGGTGTAACTCAGATAGATATATAGGTAGATAGATAGAGTATATATACCTGCATCAAAAATTTAATTAATATGGCTAAAAATGCATAATGACATGCCTTCTTATTCATCTTTTTCAGAAATATCTTGACCATTCTTGAATGTTATTTTTCTACCTATAAAGATATCTTTTTCTAAACAAATTAATATGTCATTTAAAAAATTGTATTTAATTTCACTGATAGTCTAATTTAGGGATAATCAATATCTTTACATGATTGCCTTTCTTTATCCTTATCTTCTGGTATACAAAAGTCTACTCTTGTAAAAATGTCAAATCCTTGATATCTTGGTACACACTTAGTTTTTATTTCATATAGGTCTTCTGTATTTGTATTAATTTTATTTCTGGTATTTTATAAATATTAATATCATTATAATAAGATTTTTTCTTTTATTATATCTTCTAATTTGGGGTCTTTAGAGAAAATATTAATTTTTGAATATCAATTTTATAATCTAATACATAATTAAATTTTAAATTATTTTTAACAATTTTAGTTAATTTCTTTGAGTTTCCAAATATATAAGCATACCATCTGCATATAACCATAATATTTTATAGCTCTATTTTTCTTACATCAAATGTATCAGCTAGTATTTACAAAACTAATATTCTGTTGTTAAGCAAAATCCTGATTTCTGATTTTATATATATATATGTATATATACACACACATATCAAGAGTTTGTTTCTATAAAATTTGGCTAATAATTTTTATGCAATATACTTGTTAAATTTTATCAAACACAATTTTAAAATACCTTCCACAGATAATGAAAGGCATTTATGTTTTTTCTCCTTTTAGATCTATTAACAGCTAGTTTTATTAATGGGTTTACTAAAACTGAACCATCCTTGCATTCCAGATACAACTGCTCTTCATTGTGGTATAGTCTTCTTTCATGTGTTACTGAATTCCATTTGCTAATGTAATTTTTAGTTCCATTTTTATATCAATATTCATAAGTAAAATTGGCTTGTAGCTTTATTTGATATTATCAGTGCAATACTGGTCTCAGGCAAAAAGAAATGAAAATTCTCTGTCTCTTTCACGAATCTAGAAAAATTCAGACAACATTGAGTGATCTGATCTTTGAAGATGAGCAGAATTTCCCTCTGAAATTGTCTGGGTCTGGTGTTTTGGGGAAGAGCAGAGAAGCTCTTTGGCAAAATTTTTGGTTTTTTCTAAGATACTTAATATACTTTATTTTCTCTTAAATATTTTATTTTAACCTTTTTCTATATAACTTTAAAGTATGTTTATGTTTTCCCAGTTTTTCAATTAAGTAGATTATTGAGAATAGAATATAATAACACTATGAATATATTTTAATCGATTATATGAAGAAAGGCTACAGTGAATCATCAATTTTGACAGATATCTTTGTGTTTATCTCTGTAATGTCTGCAGTTTCTAGACATCAGTAATGGGTAGAATCACAAGACAAACGAAGTAATTTTGTGTGTGTATGTATTGTACACGTCACATGTGTCTAACAGGGCTTCTGACTAAGCATTTCTATCAATAATGGATTTCAATTCACCATTACGTGTTTCATGAAATCTGAAAGTTGAAATGCACATGCAAAATTATTTATTATAGTCTTATTGTTTTATAGATAGAGAAATTCTGAAAGGTAGACAATTTGCTCAAGTTTTCAAGGCTAATAAACAGTTTAGCTAGAACTGAAGACCATGCCTGAGAATCCTAAGATTATTTTCACTTGACTGTATTCCTTTATTTCCTCAAACAGCAAGAAGAATTGTGAGATGGCTAATTTAAATTCTGTAATTTATAGTTTAAATGTATCTAAGGGTGAGATGGCTAATTTAAATTCTATAATTTATAGTTTAAATGTATCTAAGGGTTTTAAGTTAGTATGACTTCTTCAAATAAAAAATACTGTAAGTTAGAAGATTTTAAAAATTTTTCCTTCAATATGTCTATCAATATAGGTAATTATATTAAAAATAATTTGTGTACATTATAGTTAAGATAGATTCATAATAATTGACAATTGACTTTAACCAATCATTTGTAATGGCTAAAAAAGAGAATAATCTTAGTTGTCAAAATTCATGCAATAACTGTCTTTTCTATTACCATTCTCTTTTTTGAGCCTTATGGTTGGTATTGGGTTATGTAAAGTAAGACACATACAACTGTGGTTTCATAGGTACAGAGAGCTCAGAATTCTGTGAGAATTGAGTGATGAGCCACTCATTCCTGCCATAGCTTGAGATAGTCAAAAGAATATTTTGTAAGCCAACCTTCACTAGCATCTTTCTTGGTAACTACCTGCATCTTATAATAGCTGGGAAGTGTGTGAGGGTGGGGGAAAGACACGGAAGAGATTAACTCAAGAAGATTCTGATCCTATCTTTTCAGATCTTAAATCCTTTTAATATTTTAAATATGCCATAGCTAGACGTCTCTATGCCCCATATCAAACATTAAATTCAGAATGATCAGAATGAGCCACATAGGACAAATATGCCTTCTTCACTTTCCTATTTCACCTACATTCCTTTGTGGCTCTAAATAATACTGAAGCAGGAAAACATTCCTAGGGACATGCTCATGCTGTTAGCTGTGACTGAAAAATGTACAGAACTGACAATTACAGAAATTTTCCTTTACAAAACTTCAGGTCATGGAGGAAGACCTACTTGTATTTTTCTGCCTGTTTGTGTTATTAACCACTTTTTAATTAACATAAATTTCTGTCTGAATAATACCATTCCTCAAGAGTGAAGTTATCTGACTTCATAACTTCAGTTACAAAGCTTGGTTACTGCATGGTGGACAGTACAGTAAATCTTACCATGATTTTGCACTAAAGCTTGATAAAGAAGAAAGTTGCCAAAACATGAACGACTGCAAAAAAGTCACTGGGTTCCTCCAGGCCTCTGTCCCCTCACCTGTGAAAAGAAAGAGGTGGCCAAATTAACTTGACGATCCATAACTGTCAGTTGCTGAAATGCTACTGAAACTCAGGAATTTGCTTTTTTGCTTATGTCTCTTCTGAGATTGTAGGTTTCGTGTAGCAAGAAGGTGAGAAAGAATAGTTGTAGATAAATAAATCATTCTCAACTGATTACTGGATCTAAGAGGGATCCATTATTGAATAATGCAGCAAGAATGTCCCAAATGTTCACCAATAGTTTTGCAGCCTTATTCCCTGATAATAGAAAGTTATCTTTAAACTCTTTCCATTATATTTATCCCTTCACTATGGGACAACAACTGAGACTAGATTCTATTCAGACCAGCACAAATTTGGAAATTTCTCTTTACTTTCTCTCTAAATGTCCAGATGTAAGAGTGTGTGGTAGGGGAAGAAACATTTATTTTTACCTTCATATCCTTCATTCCTAAAAATTAAATACCCACCTTGTTATAAAGTTTAAAAGCCAACACTAATTATAGATTTATTTGGATTGTAGGAGATTAACTAGAGAAGATGACTTCTATGGCAAGGGAGAATATTTGTGTATTGTAATATACAGAACTATAAGTGCACTCAGCATTTGTTCTGTGGTGTTGTTTTCCATTAACCAGTCAGACAGGAATGCTAATGGTGTGTGTGGGGACGATGTCAATATTCATGATGCTGCTGGAAATGTATATAAAATGTGGTTTCCATTACTCCCCACTGGGAGCAATAAGTAACGCTGTGTACAAGGGAAGGACAGCTTGTTCATGAATATGAGCACAGCAGCAAGTTGTATGGGAAGGCAAAACTCCCAGAATTTTATGACTCTTAACTATTCCAGCCCTCAAGTGTCACTATCTGTGACTTGGCTGTGAGTAATGAGAGGCTGCCTTGCCTTTGTCAAACTTTTATTGGGAGCACTGAAAGGCGTATTGCCTACCACCTGTTGCCATCATGCACTGGAAATCTCTAGGATGCCATGTCAGGCAGGAAAATGCTGTTGGTGGTCTCAAAATTATTGCCAATTGCTGGGATAAAATTGTTGTTAGAGTCACATTCCCATTTCTTTATTCAGCAAGGTGAAAAACAGCTCATTGTTTATACATCCTACCGTGATGAATTATGAAGACATTCTAATGGAAAGTTTGCCATGGAAACTGCCAGTAAAATGTGGCTAAGAGACATCAAATTGCAGAAGGTACTTTTCAATAATTAGAAGTGTTTATGAACTAGGTACATGGTGAGAGCCATGTACATATAAAACAAGAGGTAAAAATATTCTCAAATTAAATCTCCACAGTAGGAGAAATAAGGGGCTAAGGCAGAGACTGCATTTTGGATGCTAAAATGCTTTTTGGTATTTTTACATTGGTATTTTAATAGTAAGAATGTTCTTACTTTTATTTTTTCTAATGGGAAGTGTAATTATGTATTTTATTTGGAAAACCTTAAATATTAAAAGCCGTAAAGGAAGTGGGGGGAATTAATGTTTTTTATGCAAAGTGGCATTGTAAAATGTGTGGCCTATTAGGTAACCTGGAGCTGCCACTACAATGCAGCCCGTGTTTTTGCCTAGAACACAGTGGCAAATGTTAACTGAAGTAGGACTGTGAAGATGGGAATCCAGTTTTGCCACTGTGAGCTGTGTGATCCTGGGCAATTTTTTACGTCTTGAGGCACAGTTCTCATTTTCTAAAGACTGGCCACAAAGATCTCTGCACTGCTTACCTCAAAAAATGGGTGGGGAGAAAGATGAAAGGAAATTATTATCAAAGTGTTTTGAGTAAAATATACTGGAGTAAGTAGAATGATAATGATTTGTTCCTTTATTCAACAAACATTTTACTACATCCCTAATGTATTATGGGTGCTACTTTGGGCACAAGAAATTCAGTAGTTAACAAACACTTCTTGCCCTTATGATCTTACATCTGTATGTAAATGAAAAAACATAGGTAAATTAGCTCATATATAATATAATCTTAGGTAGTCACAGATGATAAGAAAATAGCAAAGCGACAGAAGAAAATAAGAGAGTGATTGTATTTGTGTGCAGAAACTTCTGGATAAGTTGTCCGTGCAGACTTTTCTGATGAAGCGTTATTTGAGTAGAGTCTTAATTACTTGAGAGATGAAACCTGTGAAGATCTGGGGCATGAGAAATAATAGTTAAAGGAGCAGCAAGTACAAGGAACTGAGGAACGAACACATTTTATGTGTCCGAGCAGCAGCAAAGTGGCCAAGGGAGTTGAAGCAGGGTGAGAAGAGTAGCAGGGAGAATACTCATCAATGACACTGGGAAGGTAGCCAGGGCAGATCACGTGTGGGGCTGTCACAGTGACCTAGGATGGCATTTCGAGTGCAATGGGAAACTACTAGAAGTTGTAAGCAATGGAAGCCCAGGCCCTGATTTCTGCTTTAAAGTGATGATTTTGGCTGTCACACTGTGGCCAGCAGGAGGGAAAATGGAGGCTTCTGCAATAGTCCAGTTCATAGAAGATAGTGACTTGGACTAAGGTAGACGCAGTAGAAGTGACGAATTTGGGATATGTCTTGAAGTTGCAACCTAATGAGTTGTGAGATAAAATTTTTATAGTTGGTGCAGGAGACCTTTGAGTGTCACCAGGGCTGCTGTCCCAGCTAGAAGTATGAGAAACAATGAGCCTTTATATTTCTGGGCTCCTCTGACCATGTGGATGCCTCAATCTAGACACGTTGTTTTGAACCGAATTTCACGTGCTTCAGGGAAGAACTAGGGAAGGAATGGGCAGCTGTGTCTACTCGCTTGTCATCTTGACCTTGTCTACCCTCTGCATATGTTTGCTGCTTGGTAAGAAACCAAAGTGAAAGCAGCCCAAGCTCCAATTCAATAGATAACACAATATATTTTCTTGGTGAAAAAAAAAAAAAACCACAAGGAAATTAGCTGAGAATAGGGTGCTGGAGAGCCTGTTTTGAACATTAAGGTGTGGAGAGGTACAAAATAGTTATACCGGAGAGTGGGAAAATAAATTGACTAGGGAAATGTAGTGAGACTAATAAGCACAATAATGACCAACTTGAAATTAGTGTTGATTATTTAACATTAGGCCAGTTAGCATAGCTGTATTCTTCATATACATATATATCTGTTGCATGCCAGGAGCACTGTAGAGAGCTGAATTTAACCACCTTAGGTTTTTTTCAGAAAGTATGATGCAAGAGAAAGGAAGGTGAAGAGCCATGGACTATAAATTGGATGAGGCGGCACGGGGGTGGTAAAGGACACTGAGAAGGTGGCTGGTTCCATAGACAGAAGGACTTCAGAGTGGGCAGACAAGAGGGACGATTCTAGAAAGACAGAAAGTGGTCAGAGATGGAATCCTTGAAATTGGTGATGATATTATTCGTAATCAGCCAGGTTTTATGTATGGCCCTGGGAATGGGTGGCTATACAGACTGTATAGCTTCAAATATTTTTGGCTGATGATTGATTCTAGCTGGTGGTGTCATATAAACTTTGGAGACTCTAAATTCTTTGTAGAGCATTTTTATTTGTATGTGTGCTTTCTTTATTAACCATGTGTTAAGTCTGGAGTGTCTAGAATATTTCATCTAAAAAGATGAAAGAATGGGACAAATTCTTTTTCTGAAAACCTCACAAAAGATATAGATTGTTTAGGGTCTTTCTGACACGTCAGCCCTCAATTATAAAAACATTATTTCCTCCAGCTTAAAATTTCATGCTCTAGGATGACGTGTTCGTTGTAGACCTTAAATTATTTTGTATTCATTTTTTCCTTCTCCTCCTCCATCTCCTCCTCCTCCTCTTCATCTTCCTCCTCCTTCCCTTTCTCTCATTTTCTCTTTCTTTTTGTTTCCAAATAAAGAGGTAAACTTAGATAAATATAAATACATAAATCAGAAGGTAAATAAATGGATAAACAAAATGTCTTTGGAATGGGTCTTAATTTATCTTTTTGCACTCATACTTAACTGAAATCCACTATGAATCAAACTGCATCACTGCTGGATAGTAGCAAGGTTTTTGTTGCTGTTGTTTTGTTTTGTTTTTAGCATCAAAAGGAGTTATATATCCATGAAACAAATACATTCCTAAGGCCTATGAGAGATCAGACTGTAGGTCCATAACTCCCAGAAATTTATGAAATACACATGGAAGACAGAATATTAAACAAGTAGCCTTGTGTTATAGACAAAGACAAATTAGCATAAAAGATATGACTATACAGCCTGGGCAACATAACGAGACCCCATTTCTATTACAAAAAAAAATAGAAAAAAATTATTGGAGTGTGATGGTGTTTATCTGTAGTCCCAGCTACTCGAGGGGCTGAGGTGGGAGTACCACTTGAGCCCTGGAGGTCAAAGCTGCAGTGTACCATGACGGTGCCTCTGCACTCCAGCCTGGGCAACAGGGCAAGACCATGTTTCCCCAAAACATACATGATTATATGGTAACATGACTTAATATTTTTTAACCAAATGCACCAGAACTTACACACCAAAAGTGAAAGCTTTCCCCTTCAAAATAGCCACCTAGGCAAGTTATATAATTATTCCAGTGATGTTGACATTGCTGTAGACATTTTGTGAGCCACTCTTCTGGGCTTATCTTTAACTTTATTTTGAATATGTTTAAATGGTGCTGAATTATACTTTGGAAAGATGATTTGGCCACGGGAGCTGACTTAAGGTAATTTGGAGCTGAGGTCAGCAGGAATCAGTTTGAGAGATTTAGACCATAAGTAAGGAATGACCTTAATAAGGACATAGATTGGTTCACTTCCGAGCATTGTAGACTGACTCTGAAGGCAGTTTGCAAAACGGAAAGACTAGTATTTTGAGCTATGGCACCACCATTAAACAAAATGCCTGACCTACCAGCCAAAGTGACCATTCTGCAGTGGAGGGCTCTCCTCTGGGATATTTGCATTCTGACCTCAAAGAGAGCAAAGAGTAAGGATGCCTGCCAGTAACATTCAG